CTAGAGGAATGCATTGTTTCATTGTGTCAGTGATTATGAAGAATATGGTGAGAAAAGGTGTCAGGACTTCTGGAGGAGGACTGGGGAGTTAGAGACTGACTTGTCAGAACATGACTGTTTAGAAGCCTTTTAGACCCCTCCCTCCCTGGACCACAATGGGGAGCAGTTGGAAGACAGCGGGACCATGGGAGGAGTTTGTAAGAAACAGGAAGAGCATGGAGACCCAGGCTTCCCACCTTCTAGAATGAAGAAGCTCACATGAGTCAGGGCTCCAAGTTCTGTCCTTTTGGTTTATGTCTGTATGTCTCTTTTCCTGCCTTTTTCCATAAACAAGGCTCTCCTGTCTCCCCCTCCCCTACTTGTTTTTCTTTTCTTTTAAACTTTTGAGACAAGGTCTCACAGTCCAGGCCACTGTGCTTGGGTCTTTGTTTTTTTTTTTTTTTTTTTTTTGAGACAGGGTTTCTCCATGTAGTTTTGGTGCCTGTCCAGGATCTTGCTCTGTAGACCAGGCTGGCCTTGAACTCACAGAGATCCACCTGTCTTTGCCTCTCAAGTGCTGGGATTAACATTGTGCACCACTGCTGCTCACCTGGGTCTTACTTCTTGAGACCTGTTTAACTTCAGGAGATTCCTGGTGCTTGCTCATTTCTCACACACAGTTGTTGAAAGAATTGGTTCCTAAGTGGGGTTTGTCTTCCTGTGTTAGCCTCTGTGCCATTAGGCTAACGCCCTGCTGCTCTAATGGAAAGCAGTGCACTTCACAAATGCCACTGCACCATAGATGAGTGATTCTTTCCTCAGTTCATTTCAGTACGTTGCCTTGTCACTTAGCTTCACCATTGACAGCCTTGTTCTCATGATGACTTTATTGGAATTCTTTTCAGTCTGACCCATTATTTTGTGCCTTATGGTTGTTTCCCCATCTTTTCATTACTTGTCTGAGAGAGAGAGAAAATGTGTGTGTGTGTGTGTGTGTGTGTGTGTGTGTTGTGTGTGTGTGTGTGTGTCCCTGCACGTGCATGCTTGTGCTTCCTTGTCTGCATGTCTAAGAAGTCTCAAATGTACATGCACACACACAGTCCTTTTTCTTCTTCCTTACCCTTACTACCCTGCCTCAGTTTGTTACTAGAAGTATCCGCCCTGATGTCCTGCACCTCCTCCCTTTTTATACGTGGTTGATCGGCCTCATACTCGGATTCACTGTTAATTCCTCACTGGCATTGGTCTGGTCAGATAGGCTGTTCCCCAAAGTGACGGAGTTGACTTGGTTTGAATGATCTGTTTAATACGAATTCATCAGGTCCTGCCCAGCTTTTGTTTTTATTTGGGCCATGGAGCTCTGATGGCAAGAAATAGAGAGGAGAAATTGGAATGTAGGAATGCACCAGTTGCCAGGACATTTGATCTGCTTTGCCTCTGAAAGTCTAGACTCTCAAACAGTGTGTTTCCCCCCAGTAGCACATTTTTAAAGATTGCCCATGAACTTTGGAGTCACACAGATTTAGCTCTAGATATTTACTTCACCACGTTTTAGCAGTATGACTTTGGCAGATTGCTTGATTTCTGTATCAATGACTTCGTCTATAAAGTGGGGCTAGTGATGTTTACATCCCAGACTTGTGAGAATTAAGTAGTCTGTATAAAGGATTGCTACACAGTAGATAACAGTTAATGCTTGATTTTCCTTTTTCTTTTTTTCCTGTTGAATTCCCCCCTTAAATGGGGGGTGTAGTGACATGAATTAAGTACTTACTACATTTCATTTTGATGTACACATTTAGTTACTGTATCTTTTGAAAAAGAGAGTAAACCTGTAAATGATCTAGGCTGCATAGCAACAGGAACCTCTGGCCTGTTGGAAAATGAGAGACTCACTGGAAAACGAATTGGATGGAGAGTGAAATGATTGGGATTGGGGTAATGGTAATCTTAGGGGATCCCCAGAACCTTTGTTTTCATGGATCACCTGCCCTGCTTACTATAGGGTATACTAGGAATAAATGTGCTTTAACTGCTTCTTCGCACACTGGGGCCTTGGGAGGTAAATGAGAAGAGTTGCTCTTTAGGTAGTCTCTGAGTGCTGGTTTGCTGTCTATAAACACAAGAGCCAAGTAGACGGTACAGGCTTTTCAAGTGGTTCAGAGATGTGTGTTTGGGGGGCATGGGGCATGTTTTTAAACTGAGTGAGATGTGGACAGAGCATTTGTGGGGATCTGACTGTTTGCTTTTGTGTTTAGACCATAGTGAAGATGGACATTTCCATCATGACACCCCGGATCCATCTCCTCCTAGGAGGATTCGTCATGACAGCCCAGATCCATCCTCTCCCAGGAGGACCCGTCATGATACACCAGATCCATCTCCTCCTAGGAGGGCCCGTCATGACACCCCGGATCCATCTCCCCCTAGGAGGGCCCGTCATGACACCCCAGATTCGTCTCCTCCTAGGAGGGCCCGTCATGACAGCCCAGATCCATCTCCCCCTAGGAGGGCCCGTCATGACACCCCAGATTCGTCTCCTCCTAGGAGGGCCCGTCATGATACACCAGATCCATCTCCTCCTAGGAGGGCCCGTCATGACTCAGACACATCTCCTCCTAGAAGGGCCCATCATGACTCAGATGCTTCTCCCCCCAGGAAGTCTCATCGTAATTCTTCAGGTGTATCTCCTAGGAGAGGTCATCATGGTTCCTCAGGTATCTCTTCCCCCAGAAGGGCCCATAACCACTCCCCTGACACAGCCCAACATAGGAGGACTTTTGACGCTTCAGAACCACAGCATCTCAGGAAGACCCGTCATGACTCCCCTAATTTGGAACTGCCCAGAACCAAAAGTAGTAAAGCTGCAGAAAGATCCCAGAGGGAGCTGGGACCCTCCCACCCGTCACTCTCCAAGGACAGCAAGTTTGGGCGTGACTCTGACCTTTCTTCACGGAAGCGGCAAGCAAAAGCTCATTTTGGAGCTAAGAAGCAGCTTGATCCCAAAGGTGAGTATATGGCTTATGCATAAGAGGAGCTTTGTCCCCGTGAGTATGAGAATGAGAAAAATTACAGGGGCAGGGAGGAAAGTTTTATGTGCTTTTGCTTACCCTTCCTCCCCCATGAAAAGGCACTGCTGGGGCAGGTGAGGTGGCTGGTGGATAAAAGCATTCTCTGCACCAGCACACTGAAAGGAGAAAACTGACTCTGAATGTTGCCCTCTGACCTCCACATTCGGGCACCTGCACTCACAAGCACACATGCGCACTCACAGTATAATAAATAAAAATGAAAAATACTGTGTTTGTTACAGGAACTTCAGAATGAACAGAAATGTATAGACGTGGGAAGGTTCTCACAAACTTGTATCATTCAGACATCATCACTGTTAGTATTATAGCCAGTGCCCTTGGGGGCTTCCTGGCATACTGGGTGTAGTTGAGTCTGGCTGTGCAGAATGTAATCTTGCTTGTTCCCTCCACTCAACAAAGTTTTCCCTGGGTTATAGATATCTTTATGTTACTGTTTGTTTTTTTTTTTTTAAATTCTTTATGTTACATAAGTTGACTTAGCCATTTCCCTAAGATTACATGCTTTGGGTTATTTCTAGCTTTGCTCTTAGGACGTTTGACAATCATCCTGTCCATATACTGTTAGAACAACTATGGATTATTTCTTATCTTAGATCTCTTGGGGTTTTTACTGATGGGTTCCTAGAAAGCTGAGCAGTTGTTTGCTAGGTCAAAATGTGTGGCTGTTGCTACGACCTGGTAGGTCAGCAGTGCACTGTCATCTAGAACAGACCTATGCAGGGAAGTTTTTTCTCCTTCATTTGTTCTAGCTACCGTTTTAATTTTTGAGATTAAATTGCTTTGTTATTCTTGAGTCTGAGGACATCAGCTTATACCCCAGACCTTCCTGACTCTGCCATACCACAGAGGGCTAACCAAGCTCTTCTGTCAGTTCTGCACAGAGTGGCAGTGGTGGACCGAAGCATAGATGAGTGTGCTTTTCAAAGTCATCAGACACTGGGGGCCAGGAAACAGAGCCACCTGACCTGTTCTTCACCTGTTCTTGTGCTTTGGTTAGTCATGTTAGTCATGCTTTTTCATAGGATGACTAAGCAGACACTGTACCCCCGCCTGGTAATTTCTTTTAAACATTCTTCCAAGGGGGTTACTTTATTCTCCCTGGCTCTCCCCTGTGCTGGGGACCAAAACCAGGGCCTGACATACCAGGTTCACTTGACTCCTGAACCATCCCATCCTTAGTTCACTCTTTAATCCTTAGCTTCTCTTAGCCACAGGCTTTCATACAAGCCTTTTCCTTAGGAGACAGCAGGGTCACACTTTGCTCCTTTCTGCAGGTGTCTGCCACAAAGCCTCTGACTCAGATCTGTCTCCTCCACGGCAAAAACAAAATTCAAGACACCAGGATTCTGACTCAGATCTGTCACCACCACGGAATAGACAGAGACGCCAGAGCTCTGACTCCGACCTCTCTCCACCCCGGAGAAGACAGAGGACCAAGTCTTCAGATTCTGACCTCTCTCCTCCTCGAAGGAGTCCCCGTCCTGGGAAGAAGGTAGGGATTCCAGGAGTTGTGTCTTTGTCAGAGTGACTCCTCCCTTCCAGCTTTACAGACACCAAAAAGGTTGCAGCCAGAGAGTTGGGATGTGGTACAGCAAATGAGTTAAAAGCACTTCTGGAACTTTCACTCTGAAGGTATCATGGCCCTAACTCATCTGAGCTGAATTTGTAAGAAGAGACTTGAGGATGCCTTATCCAGATATTTGAAGGTTTGAAGGTGTTGCAGATACTGCACAAAATGATGCTCAGAATGTCTTGGATTATGGACTGTTGTGGATGTCCAGTTTTGGATTAGGAGTGCCTGGCTTGTACCAGAGACTCCCAAGAGGCTCCTGCCTTTTATAGCCTTGTAATGCCACAAGTCTCAGTATCTACAGAACGCCTCCCTGTTTTTTCCCTTTGTTGTTTTGAGTGTATTCCAAGGCTGGCCTTGAACTTCTGACCCACCTGCCTCCTCCTACCTGATATGAAAGGCAGGTACCACTGTTTTCTTAATAATAAGCTGAGGCTTACAGCTTACAGAGTTCAGTTGGGAGCATAGAACCCCGTGAAACCAATCATAGCTTTAAATCCTACTTCTGCTACTTAATGTCTGGGAGGTTGTGCAAGGAATTTGATTTCTTTAATCTTCAGCTTCCTTTGTGAAACGTGCACGAGTGAGTTCAAGACCAGCCTGTACTGTGTGGGACACTACAAAGACAAAAAGAAGGCATGCATGTTTTTAGCCCCTTCTTCTATGTGCTGTGTGTTTGGGTTTCTGTTTACTTTAAAATTTGATATTATAAACTGTTTCATGAAATTAGATGCTTCCCCCTATGGTGTGAGTCTGTGGTCAAAATGAGATTATGAAACTAGAGGGTTTGATTTGGTTATTACTGATGATCAGACATACAAGCAGCTGGCTGCCTCCTCGTTCATTGGTGTTGGTTGTTGCCTCTTCTC